TGTCCATGCTTGTAGCTTCTGCTGTCTGCTGGCGACAGTTGGAGGTCTGGACATGACGGTGTGATCATTGATGGATTGTGTCTCAAACAAGACGCGATCACGGTTTCTAGTTCGGGTGATGTGTTTGTGGAGTTCTTTGTCCGCTATACTGGTTGTGTTGGGATGTTAGTTGTCTGTGTTGGCTGCCGTGCTGGCGGCGTTGGAGGTGCAGGCTGCTGGTCTTGATGATGGGAGTTTGGGTGGCGTCCGTACAGCTTGCTTGAGTTGATGCTTGGGGGTGTATCGGGTTTGTCGATGATATCCATAATATGTTTGTGGAGCGGAGTGGAACCCGTTCATGGAATTAAAATATGCGTTGTTGGATTTGTGAGGCTACGCAACTTTGCAATCTGTCGCCGGGTTGGCCGGTGTTGTTCTAGCGTATCGCCGAACCCGAAAGCGCTCGAGGTTTGGGTGGTGCATTCGTGGATAGACAAGCAACAACCCAAACACCACAAACCACAGCCAAACGTGTAAGCACATTCGGGTTTTGCACCATCCGTTAGCCACAACATGTCGCAACAACCTATGTTCCCATGCTACCAGCTCAGCAACACCACCCACCACTCCACACGACGAGCTCCACAGACACAATCCACGTTCCTATCATGAAAACCAACAGCCCGCGATGTCAACATGGCCAAAATCACCAGACACTGCAGCAAGCATGAATAAACAACGTCCCGTCAGCTAGCATCGTGGGCGAAGAAATCCAAACAACCTCACGGATGACACCATCGCAACCACGCCTCCGACACTCTCAACTCGGCCAAACAAGCATCGAAAACATCACCAAATATCCAACATCCCAAACCCTGCCCGAGCACCACCACACGAACACATGGAAAATATCATCAGCAGCAGCATCACAAACACCTGGTGTCTGCAGAGACAGCCACAAGCGACACCTTTAACGCCTCCAACTCAATAAGATGACACAACACCGTGCAAGCACAGGCAACATCGCACCGGTGGTATTGAAGAAGTGGGTGACACCTGTAGTCTTGGTTGTGCGTCTGTGCGTGTGCTGTGTCTGTGTGTGTGTCTCTCTCTGTGTGTGTGTTGATGTTGGTGTTGTTCGTGCTCGTTTTTACTTTCGGATAGCGCTGAAGAGCCACTTGTACCGGTGCCTCGCATTTTAGTGGCGCTGGAGTCGCCTGTGTTGATGTGTGATTCATTGGTGTGTGGTGGTGCTCGTGCTGCTGCTGTCATGCGGAAGATTTGAGTTTGACCACCGGAACCAAGAACAAACCCACCGGGCCCAGCGGTGCCTGCCAAAGCATGACCAAGATACTCTCGAGAGGTATGCCAAGCTCACTCACCGTGAAGCCTCGCTCATCCTCGCTGGTTCTGGGTCGTGTGTCCGGCCTCTCGGCGCTCTCGATCATGGACGGGCCGTGGAAGCCAAACCAGAGGGCTCTCCCTGAAGGGTCGGCCATGGAATTGCTTCCCCAAAGGGCGCTGCCAAGAAAGAGGTCCACACTAGCCGTCCCCAGGTCGCTGGAAGGCACTCCAACACGGTCAACCGCGAGGCACCCCCCACCCGATCTTCCCGCATCCGGTCGTCGGAACCGCAATGGAACCGCACACAGGGCCAGCTAAGTAGCTGCCTTTGGTGCCAGACCGCAGGAAGCTCAGATGGCAAACGATGAGCATCCCTGGACACCACCTTCCGGCTATCGACCAACCGAACACCAACCACCATGTTTTTTGATTTTCCGCCTGTTGTTGTGGGGTGTGTGTGCAGTGTCCAACGGCGCTGAGTAGATTAGCTTCAGTCCGCTCCCAAGTGCTGGGATCAGAATTCCTTGATTCTGCTCCTTTCAAGCCAAGCTTTAACCCGGCACATCTCGAATTCTGAAGCCTCAAAAAGCCTGAATAAGTGACGTCTGCATGGATCCAGCGTAGCAGAAGAAGCTCGCCACAGCTTCCACCAGCAAGCCAACAAAGACTGCGCGCCAAGCAAGACAAGTGACACAAACAATATGCTGGAATATCTTGGATGGCCAAACAAGCCTAAACACAACTTTTACGCAATTTTACGCGGCACCTGCCCGATGCCTACAGCTTCTTGCAACCTCCGCGCTCAAACTCGGCCTTGATTTGCCTCAAGGACACCCTTCCATCATGTTGAACTTTACAAGATTGAGTGCAAGTCCATGCTGGGTTCCCGGCTGAGCATCACAAATGCAAGGAAAGAAGTGTACCATTCCGACACAGCCCCCTTCTCAAGAGCCTCCGTGCGATCTCGGGAGCTGCTTCCGGTGGGCTCGGCTGGACTCAGCCTCCGGTGAGTTCGCGGCTGCTTCAAGTCCTGGCATTACGTATCGTCTAGGAAAAGGGGGTTGGGCTCGAGAAGGCCTGTGCTCCATTCCGTATCTGGCGTCTGCGTCTCCTGAGCAAACGGTGAGCAAATCAACGCCAACGCGGCTTCTTCAACGCATCGTTTCATGTACCCATCGCGGTCGACCCGGCTCCGGTTCAGCCTTCAGGTCATGTATTGGATGTGAGTGAGGCGTCTCCAGCTCCGACATGCCTTTCTCGAGAGGAAGTTTGTCCTAGGCAACCTGCAAACTAACGGATTAGTCCAACGAGCTTAGAAGCTTATGCTTCGCATCACTTCGGTTGTGGACTTCCCCCCCCTTGGGGGGCTGCTCGAGCACTCGTTTCAAGCGAGCTGCTGACCTGACTGAAGCCAGTCGGGAGAAGCTCGTACGAGCCCAAGCAATGGCAACAACATGTGTTTATGAAATTGTTGACCCTTTCCTGTCTGCTCGCTTCGGAAATTACTCAAACCCTCGCCGGGGGCTAACCCTTTCAATTTACTTAAACCTACGCGAACCTTGCAAGGCAAGACGGGGGCCTTCCAAAGCGGAGGCCTCGCCCGGCAAGGCACGGAAACGGCTCGTCTCCGACTTGTGTCCCTCGTTCCGGTAATCCTTTCACGATGAATTCCTTCAAACAGGCCTCAAGTTGTTGTTGATTGTGTATGTTAGCGACTTCAAGCTGGCCGGAACGAAGGAACATGTGAAGAAGGGTTAGAACTTCATGGGGGCAAACAGACAGGCCAGATTTCGGTATCAAGAGACACGCCACGTTGTACGCAGGTTGTTGGGTACAATGCTGTGGAGTTCATGAAACCATGCACCGCAAGAGATCAGCTGCTATGCTACAAGGCCTACTCTAAAGCGCTTAACTCAGCGAGAACTCTTGTCAAAGGACCGACACGACTTTTTGGAAGGACCACCGGCTTTTGCTTGTGAATGCGTGCCCGACCCGTCTGCACGAGGTAAAATTTCGCTGAAGACTCATCCCTCCTGCAGATTGTCGCGCGGCTTTTCTCCATCGGACGTGTTGCACCCCTGCGGCTTTGAAAACTGCATGTTTTCAGAAAATGCAGCTGGTGGTTGATGGCATTCCTGCCTCATCTTACCGCCGAGACTCCTAGACCTCTTGAGCTGCACATTGTCGCACTGCACCTGGCCTAACACATCCATCAATCACCAGGGTGCTGAAAATTTCTGGCACCCATGGACTTTGCCTGGTTTCGGCACTGTCCGCGAGCTCCCCCAGATCTAAATCTGTGAATCACTTGTTTTGGTAACGCATTACAAAAAGCTTATGGTTATGGCATAACAACAGGCTGTGAGGTCGTCACAAGACCACGGGTTTCGCAGTGGTCTAACAGACACGACCAAGCATGTATGCGCCTCAATGTCTCGGGCGCTCCAAGCACGCACATTCCTGGAGTGTAGTTCCGGCAAACGGTGCTTCCGTCGCATGTGTAACAGGCGGTCACAAAGTTGATGTCCGATCATAAAGCTGCAACTCCAACAGCTAGTGCATCATGTACGAGAGATGCACTCTGCAGGCCTAGCCGTGCTCTCGTGAGGGCCACGTCCAGCAAATGTTCGTCCTGCCGTGACGGGATAGCTGAATCACGGTCACGTGGCGCAGACGTGTGACACGAAGGAGCGGCAAGCACAGGGCACTTTTGTGGGCTCTGGCAGTCGTCTACCCAAGATGGCTGTTGCTTTCGGAACGTCGTGTGTTTGTATATGGTCAACGAACTACACTTTCTAGATTCCCAGCCAAGGGCCGGTTGTCACTCTGTACGGTCACCGTGCTGAACTATGTCCCAGCTGGTACCTCTAAGGCACCAAGGCCACCAGGCGAGCTGCGAACGGTTGACAGCAGTACGTAGTCCCATTCCTCGGACGAACATCGTCTGAGATCACCCTCGGATGAGCTACACTGACAAAGCTTCAGCCGACGTGAAGGCCCAGCTTTACACACTACGAAGCACGCACCGCACGAACCAAGACCATCGAAAGAACAAAAGACGTACCGGAAATCCGTGCTTACTCCGTGCTTGTTCCAGTCACAGCACACACACACACACACGCGCATGCGCATCCTTGCCAACAAAAAGTCAGAAACAACGAACTTGTCTTTCAGCACCCGAATTTTCACTGGCTGAAGTATGCCGGGACGATGCCAAGCTTGACGTTTGACGTGGCGAAAGCCTGTATCAAATTACGAACAGGCCAGGATTCATTGCCCTGACATGAAACAACACCGCCAATGTGAATTGAAGTCCCGGCGAGTGCCTCGCTCAATTGTGCCACCTGCTCAGGCCCCAGAGATCGTGAATAAGGACAGCTCGGTCAAGAAAATTGAAGCATGCTGTCAGCGGGCACCGTCTGAGATTACCCTCGGATGAGCTACACTGACAAAGCTTCAGCCGACGTGAAGGCCCATCTTTACACACTACGAAGCACGCGCCGCACGAACCAAGACCATCGAAAGAACAAAAGACGTACCGGAAATCCGTGCTTGTTCCAATCACAGCACACACACACACACGCGCATGCGCATCCTTGCCAAGAAAAGTCAGAAACAACGAACTTGTCTTCGAGCACCCGAGTTTTCACTGGCTGAAGTATGCCGGGACGATGCCAAGCTTGACGTTTGACGTGGCGAAAGCCTGTATCAAATTACGAACAGGCCAGGATTCATTGCCCTGAGATGAAACAACACCGCCAATGTGAATTGAAGTCCCGGCGAGTGCCTCGCTCAATTGTGCCACCTGCTCAGGCCCCAGAGATCGTGAATAAGGACAACTAGTCAAGAAAATTGAAGCATGCTGTCAGCGGGCACCGTTCTAACCTCAGACACACTAGCAAAATGCAACGTGCTTCAATGAACAGTTCTGGGCCTGGGCGTTGTACCAGGTAAGCACCGCTACCTCGGCAGTGCAATGCAGTAGACACAAGCTGCGAGGGTCTCCGTTGCCTTACAAATCCCGCGGCAAGATCCTACAGCCGGCAGAGAATCAGAGTGCGAGTATTTGCAATCTGGACTGACAGCCAAGTTCCTTCCAGCTTGTGGCAAGCACAATCAATCGGTGCAACGCTGCACGGGTTCATGCCTGGCCGTTGTTTGTAGAACGAGAAGCCCTGTTTGGAAAACCTGTGCAGCAAGCAAGGGCTGGTCCAATGCGCTGCATACCCGTCAGCACTGCTGTTAGAACGTTTTGTCCACAATATTGCACAACGAGGACCCGGATGTCTGCAACCAACGCCGGGTTGTCTAGAAGCCAGCAACGCTGTTCCTGCAACTGACACGCCCTGCGGAGGACCCGACCCTCATGGGCCTGTCTTTAGTTTCGCTCGTTTTGGGGTCTTTTTCCCCCCCGGTCTTTTACCGACCTGGCCTGGTGTTCTCCGGAAGCACAACAAAGCAGCCCCACCCTCTTTGTACCAGCGCCGAACCCAAACAGAGTGAATTGCATGAGATGGGATCAACTTGAACAACAGAATTCGACGTGCTCTTTGCAGTCGAAGACCTGGAAGGACAGGGTTAAAACTGGAGCAGCAGTAGTGCTCATATGACCTTATGGGAAAGCTCACATCGAGGGCATCAAGCACCGTCACGCTGGAAATGGCAAGGCAAGGCATTCTGGATTTTGGGAGCCCCGATGTTAGCTTCAGAAACCTAGATAAGTTTAAGTCCTCGCATCACATCCAACCTCGGCACGACCCACTAGTGAAGTCTGACTACAACTCCAGCCGTTCCGTTTGAAATAATCTCGACTCACCACATCAAGCGTGGCTTCTCAAACTGCGCTTCTGGTCTTAGCCTTCCCTGTTCAGCATTAAGCTCGGTTGGTGGTTTGCCCTTGGCTCCTGAACTACGATTGCCGAAACGTTTCTGATTGTGATACAGTGTGATGCACAAGCAGTGTTTGGCCAGATTTTGAAAGGGAATGCGCTCTTTGCAAAGCCGTAGCCTGTCGGGTGCACGGCTCAACACGAGCGAGCATGATGCAGAAAAAACGTCAACAATTGTAGGCCGTTCTGGCAAGCAAGGCACGCGGCTGTCGCCCACTTTGGCTGCTAGCGAGCGTGCCAGTGCTGCAGCTCGCAACGCCTGCATGGTTTTCAAGGGAATTAATTATCATAGCAATGACAAAAACATCCGAAACTGGATTATTGATATCCTCTCAGGCATTTGGGCTCGCAGGCAGAACGGCAAAGACTCGCGCTCCAAAGGGCTGAAGCTGCGGCTGCGGACAAGGCCGGCCTCTGCCGGGTTGAAACGGGACTTGGCGCTGGCAGCTGAGCTTCGAACCTGTGAAATCCTGGCCGAGCTTTTCCGGGACAAATCTTTTGACTCTCATCCGGCTTTGCTCTGAAGTTCGTCCAGTTAGGCCCTGGCTTACACAGGCACAAAACCTGTTCAAAATCTCACCACGTGATCCCACGAACAACCCCAACATCTTGCACAAAGTTTGCACACTCCACACTGAACGGGTACCGTCGATGCGTTTCACCCATTCAGGCCATACGGAGTAATTTTTGTCATCTTCCAAGCGAATGACGCGCCAAGTAACTGAACTTCCCTTTGCCGCCGTTTCCAACCCGCGCCGTGTCTCAACCAAGGCACTGTTCCGAAGGTCCGCCGTGAGACGACCAGAACAGGAACGGTCTCGAGATCATCGGCCTAGCGCTTACACTGGAAAACTATGCAGCAGCCCAGAAAGACTTGAGATCAGACTGTGCTGTCCGGCGAGACACGCTCAACAAGGCTCCGTTTTTGAGGAGCTTCTGCTTCCGCGCACCGTGCAGCTTCATCTAAGAACAGGGTGAATAGTGAATAGTGAATTGTGTTTCATGCATGACTGAGTCGACTCTTTCGAACATAGCGGAACCTCAGTTTGGAGGCAGAAATCCGGCTGGAGATGACATCCCTTCAAACCTCTAGTGCAGTCGACATTGGTTTTGTCTTCGAACGCTGAAGTCCGCTGCATCCGAGCGGCCGAGTCGGGTGCGCCAAGCGTCCAGGCCGACGAGCGAGAACAGCGGGATCCTGAGTCCGAAGAAACGGAAACTGCAAGGCGACGCAAGGCATTTCTTTGACCTGAGCTTCTCATCCTCACGCTCTCAGACATCAACGGTGGGGCCGCACCCCACTCGCATGCATGGAGATGAGGCATACCGGAGCAAGGAGCCGACACAAAGCTCGGTAACGTTTCACCCCCACTGCGAAAATCACGGACCCAGAAGCCCCCTGCTTAACTCGCACACATGGGATACCACCCGGCTGCGCTTCGCGGCTCCTGCCCCCACACAGCTTGTAGACCCGGCAGCCTACCAACTTCAGTCACAGCCTTCTGCTGACTGTCGTGACCCTGCCGCGAACTCGAAAGGATTAAGCACGCTGCAAAAGACGTCGTTGCGCTGGCGAGTCTGCTGAATACTGCAGGCATGTGTAGGCTCTAACCATCACCTGACGGAGCTTACCAGGGCCAAGGGTCCGTTCTGACACGGCCGCCATAGAAGTATGCTGCCGGAAACTCATTCAACTCCTGGCAGCACTACAGCAGTTGCACTGGAACGGCTGCCGCTTGACTGGCGAACCAGCTCAAGCAGATATACCGACGGTCCCGACTCACTATGTCTCTCCTCGTGCATTCGATACTGCAGAGACAACAGCCTCGTTCTGCAGGGTCTGCACACACACAGAAGCTTCCAAACCCTCGTGCCGAACTAACTAACGGCTTCCCTGCCACGGCTTAGTGAGCTTGCTTCCTTTGTCGGATAGTCGTGCTGTTCCGTGCTCTTTTTTCGGATTCGGTGCCAACAGAAGCACCTCCTGCACGGTTGCGTTCTCGCGCTGCACTACGCCTCTTTCCGTTTGTGCCGCAGCCTTGTGGAGATCTTCAACACATGTGGATCAAGGCAGAAAACCGGGAGCATGCAGCAAATAACACCTCACAATACAAAGAATCTCATCAGCCATCGAACGATGGCACGGAAGCAGGTTACCGGCCGTGTCTTCTATTGCAACATGGAAGCTAATCTTGAGTTGGGCTACGCATGACTCATAACCTTCCTAAGTGTTTGAATGCTCTTGCATGCATTCAGCCTGCCGAAGCCTCGTCGCGATTGTTCTTGCAGCTTGGGATTTTCATTTGCTCAGCTTCTTCTCGCGAAAGACATTCGCCATTCCATCTGTATAGGGCGCCTTCCGTTCATGCGTCATGTCCCCCCCAGGGTGTAGGAGTTTGCACTGCTCTTGGTAGAGACAAACTGACAGATACTGCCAGTGCCGACATGATTTTTCAAGCGCGTCAGCCTTCGAGCAAATTTGAGCAGGCTAGCGCTAGGATAAGAGAGTCTGCAAGGCGGTCGAGGTCACACTCAGGATCTCGCCGAGGCTTACCAGCAGGCGCGTCGCTCAAGCGCTCCTCATGCAAAGTGACGAGTCACAGGTTACTTGACACCTTTGCATCAAAAACGAATTAAGCCTTCGACATGGCATCATGGCAACTGTGCTGCCGAGTGGCGAGCAACGATATATTAAGACCCATTCTCTCAGCTTGTGGGCTGGTGACGATGGGCCGAAGCCTTGGGCCAGCACATAGAAGCTCCGGATCACGAAGGACATACATGACATCCCGCACTCATCCCGCATTCCCCTCTCTATAGAGTCACATGCATAGAGTCAAGTACATAGAGTCATAGCATAGAGTCATAGAGTCAAATGCATAGAGTCATAGAGTCAAGTGCATAGAGTCAAATGCATAGAGTCAAGTACATAGAGTCATAGCATACAAGAGTCCTGGTAAGTCATCTATATACTCGACTCTATGTACTTCACTCGATACATGTCATCTATGTACTCGGTTCTATTTCGGTCATCTATGTACTTCTCTCGAGGGCTCCGCACATCTCCACACGGAAGAACCCTTCGCGATGCTTTCGGGAAAAACGAAGAAATGTGACGGCCTTCTGAATTGAAGCAAAAGCGGAGATGAGAGCGCCATGCTCTGGAGAGCGTTGGAGCCGGCCAATCTTTTGCCAGGGCACTGCTTGGGGTCGCCGACCATGACAATCTTCTTGGCGTTTTTCGCCTTGCGCAGACCACAGGGTTAACTCTCGCTATGACCAACTAGACCGTCGCTAAGTCGACGCAAACCAAAACAACACTGCCAGGCAAATCATCTAAGTGGCCAGTGTCATGGGGCAAAGCGCTTCTGGTTCTGGGGCCTGCCCAGCCTCAGCACGTTGCATACCGGATATATCAACTGTATACCTGCATGCAAAGCTACGTCGTGATCAAAGAACAATCAGAAAGCGCGGCGGGACTTGGACTGCTGCAAGCACCCTCGGCCCTAGCCTCGTCCAACACCACCTGCAGTAGTTCTGGCGCTCCAGGTGCCTGACAGTGTCGTTGCGCCAAGCAGTGCCGATGCTGAAGCATGCAAAGTCGTGCTGCCGGGCAAACTAAGGCTGTCGTGGTTTTGTCTTCATGAGACCTAGCCAACCTAGCCTTTGCAATGCCTCGTGAGACCCTATGAGAAGCTTTCAGATCATAATACTTCAGTTCTCTGCGTGCTCGATCGAGATGGCGTGGCGAAACAGCACACATGGTCGCGCCTGTAAAGCAGCTGCCAATCCACCACGTCGTGCAGATATGCATGTTGCGAAAACCTGCAGAAGCTATGCAGCCCAGAGATGATGACGTGTCTCGAAGATAAGTTGAGTCTTTCAGGCTGAAGCCAGGAAGAAGCCGCTACTTCACATGCCCTCTGAACTTCCGATTCCATACACAAGCAAGATCGTCCCAGGGTGCACACATGCTGAGTTCAAAGTCTCAAGTTGACCTGAGGTCTTAGCCACATCTGTGCGGCGCAGCTCTGCAGCACGAGCGGCTGAAAGAGCCAAGTAGTATCTGGCAGACAGAGCTCAGGGGATCAACTCCAACTGTATCCCGCGCATCTGCACGGCAAGGACTTCGTGCACGGCAAGGACTGCGCGCACCGCTCTCTGTCTCCTGTCTCTCACGTTGTACTATACCTCTGTGCATCAACAAACAAATCCGATCTGCATTGCGCTCCAGGAGCAACAGCTTGCTGCACAGGCGCTCTGTGCGAAGCTCGTCGAAGAGAGGGCTACTGAGCCCCGCCTGTAGCCTCAGCAAGACATTCACGTAGAATTAGCCTTAGTTAGCCTTAGTTGTCATTAGCAGTAGCATGCTGTCGACGCTGTATCGGCGAAGCTCTGCTTATCATGCATCCCAGCATCATTCGTTCGTAGGCTGCGCCTGCCTCCAAGGACTCCGCAGTCGGCTCCACACCTTTGATCTTCGTATCAAAACCGCAGCTCACTTGCTCTGCCTCTTACCTCCTGAAGACAGTCACACGAAGTCCCCAACAGGCGACGCTCACAGATGTCAACGGGATGTGAGAGTGGCCTGGAGCTCGGCCGTGGCAGCGCCAATGCAAAGCAAATGGGCGCATAGCCTGAAGCAGAGTCAGTAAGGAAACGCCGCAGGACATGCCTGGACACGCAAAGCCAAACAAACTCCGAAAAGGCTGCAACCTCGGACACCGTCTTCACCTTTCGCGGCTTTGCGCTAGGGTGATCAATCCTTTTGGGCACCTGGGCGAGGGGGGCTGACCACGGTCACAATGGCCCTCTCTCATACACTGGCACACACGGGACAAATGACACTAAAAGGACATGTGATGCCCATATTATACTGTCATCCAAGCAATAAGCATGCGCCGACTAGTTTGTGCCAAGGATCACGGAGATAACGCCCGCAGCGTACTTGAAAGACATTCGGACATTGTGAACTGCAGCTGCGCGTGGTTACTAAATCCACCCTTCCCCACGGTGTATTGCGCAGGAGCCTTTGCTATTGGAAGGCTCCTGATATGATTTGGAAGTGCTGGCTACAGTACCCAAGTGATACCCGTCCCGACAGGTCGTTGCGACACTATTGCGGGGCCTGCGCCCAGTTTGGATCAGAAAGCATTTTCGTCTCTCATGCGGAATTGCAGTTCCTGTAGAGAGGACCCAGAGAGGATTTCTGCTGCAGTTGAGAGGCTGGACGCAGCTTCGAGCTACAAGTACGAAAAGCTAGGAGCATTAATTTAAAGGACAAGGTTTGCAGCTGAGCTCGAGCGCAGGAAAATCGCCGCGCTCCATCTCAGCGCTGTAGACTCGAAGTGCTGTTAAACCTCCAGAAAGGCACGGCACAATCAGCGGGAGACGTGCACTAATCATCACAATGTGCCTCCCTCAGACTGGCGCAGCGGGCGACGACAAAGCGGACAAGTTGAGTTCCTGCAGGACCAGTCGCTTTGGGCTCGCCATAGTCATGCCGTCTGCATTTATGATCAAGCCAAGTGAGAAATCCCGCTCCCTGCAGCACGAGCTTGTTCCAGACAGCTCCGGTGAAATTGATGACCGCAAGCCTCCAGTGCCCGAGATCCCACTATGCAGCCTTCCGCGGGGAACCTGTTGAGATCCTGCTGAGGCTTGCATACCACAAGCCGGAAATAACCACAGTAAACCTTTCAGACACCGCTCAATGGTTGTTTTGCAGCATCCCACGGCCACTCTGCAGCCGAAAAGCAGTGATGGCATCGCACGAACCATTGAAGCAGATCGGGCAGTCCTCGCTGGTCCCAGCCTTGCGCTTGCAACACATCGGATCACAGAAACAAAGCGCCAACAACCAAAGGCACTCCCCTACGGGCTGTAGCGCTGTTCACATCTGGCCATGTTGAGACTGGCAGCGGCAACGACTTCTTGGCGCCGCTTTGTGGCCAGGGCCTTCTTGCAGCAAACAATGACAATGCTTCAAGTCACCGCTTTGCTGCTCTCGCCGAACATTCAAGACTTCGCCTACTAGTAGCTTCCGCTTCGACTGTCGGAGGCTGAGCCCCGTGTCGCTTGTTCCATGTTCCCTTTACGGGAAATGGCCAAGTTGGGGCAAAGGTGTTGTCCTTCCCGCCCAGTTTCGTGGAACTTCCGTGGCCGAACTGCCTTCTGCGCGCTTGAGCTTCCGCTGCGTATTTCGCACAGCTTTCACGGAAACTACACACAGTGTACTTTTCACTGACATTTGCAAACAGAAGCTGAAGCCTAGCGTGAGCTCCCGACACTCTGCCTCTGATTATACTTGGTACACCGGGAAGACCTACAGCATCCTGTTGCAACGCAACACAAATCCTTGAAGCAAACTTTGCCAAGAAAGTCGAAGGGTTTATAGGGAGTGGCCAGACAGAAGCCTGTGAGCGATGTTGACCTCTCGTGCAAAATCGTGTTCCTTCCGTGCCTGCCGGGTGCCTTCCTCAGTGAAAGTTTCGTGAGCCCTAGATCTCTAATGTTCTCAATTTTCGAGTGAATCGAAGAGAAGGACCTCGAGACATCAGTCTGGCTGCTGGTCGTTCTGTGCGTGTGTCGTCTTAGCAATGACGCAGCGGTGGTTGGGCGGAGGCAAAACGGTGGCAGGTATACTGTCTCACTCCCTCACTCATGCAGTGGGAAACACAGGCTTTTTCTCGGTCACAAAGATCAAAGGCTGCAGGCAGCGCCCATCACTCTTTCATACGGGCCACGCGACGGCGGCTATCTGAATGTTCTGCATGTGCCATGACGAAAATGCGGTTGTTTTTGCTGTGGTGTCAGCCGCTCCTTGCTGGATTGCGGAAAGCTTTGAAACTTAGAACCCTTAGAACTGATCCTGGCAAACCACTTCGACATTGTTGTGGTGGAATCGGAGCATACTGCTTGCTTGTACACTAAGCTGCCAAGACTGCTGAAGGTCTGACCCAACCTTTGATTGGCTAACGGATTGGGCTCGGACACTTTCACGGATGTCGCGGCCTGGAAATGCCTTGCCGATGATTCGGCAACGCGGATGCAGGCAACGTCGGCAGCATCATTGCTTGGCGTGCAGTACCTGTGCAATCCCTAATGCTGAGATGTTAATCGACATGACATCGTTCCGGCAAGTGTCTTCTCCATAAAAATCGCATAACAGTTGTTGCAACCATGGCGCAGTACGGCTGCTACTTGACCACAGTCAAGATTCCACAAGGCATACAGCACACCTCGGTCGCTGGGTCAGAAAGCTCCCATAATCTGCATGCAAAGCCCGTTGTTGCGAATGCTGCAAGTGGACTTATCTTGATTGTGATATTGTGCTATACCTTCAGCCTTGACACCAACAGAATCACCCTGTCAGCGGCTCGAGATGCGGCTTAGCTGCACAGCGCAGCGGCTGTAGTGGTTTTGCCAGTCCCGGGGGGGCCGTGGATCAGCGACAAGGCATCCTGGTGACAAGGTTTCCAGGCCTTTTAAGGCTGTACGAAACTGTCAGCTGCTCCTCTAAGGAGCCGCGAACCGCCGCTTCCTGAGGAGGATTCAAGCGCCAAGGCTTCAGGTCCATACCTGGGCAGCACGGCACGCCCGCTCAAGCAAAGCAACCAAACATCGGTGCCCAAGTCAAGCATGTTAGCATTGGCTGCGGAAAAGCAAAAACGGGAACGTAACGTCTCAGATTCGCCGGTACGTGTCACAACAAGACTCTCGCACGACAGGCCATGAACGGCCTCTGCGTTTTCAGCCGCTTCTCAGAAAGGGGACTGCCACAGTGAATCCCTCCTCCTCTCATCTCCTCTCCGTCCCGCTCTGCTCGAAAAGGCAGCAGAAAGCATAATGTCTCAGCGCGACGACGCGGAGCATCCAAACTTGAACCGCTGCTGCGACCTGATGCCGTCACCTGCGACCTTGTCGATGGCATGCTTAATGCCCCTTCACGGCAGGTTCCGGACATCTGCCCGGGCCCCAATCACGGGAGACGAGCATGCGGCGTCAATCGGCATGCCACGGACAAACTACGCAGATGTCGAATCAAGGCTAGAAGATGCTAGAAGGGCAGAACCACTCGGTTTGTGCACCTTTGTTGAAGAAATTTGAAGAAGCCACAGCGTTCTTACGTGCACGCAACGGTGAAGGCCTGGCTGCTTTGAGCAGCGCTTGATGCTAAGTACTCGTCGCCCAATAACTGCTGCGATCTGTTGTGCTTGAAATAGCACTTCGATACTACTGACCGAAACGAAATTGCTCTAAAGAATGCGCACATGGTGCTAAAAAGGCGTGCAGTGGCAGACTTTGCAAACCGTGACTGTCGAAATGCCGATCATGACTCTTTGCAAAAGCCCAGCTTCAGTGTGGGGGAAGGGCTGGTGGGAGTCAAGGGAAACATGAAGTTAAATCAAGGTTAAGGTATCTTCTGTCAGCACGGCTGGACCTGTGACAACTATGTGTTCCATCTACTAACCCAACCTCGTTTACAGCAATCTGCCAAGCGGTCAACATCAAATTCCAAACGGCCCAGTCGGTAGCCTTGATAGCGCAACTCCCGTCATCTCCGACCAACATGAACTGCTCATCATGGGCAACCGTACTGACCGCCAAGGACTGCATTGCCTGCAAGATCTCAAGCTTGGAAGCCGGCTCTTTGCAAAAGACTCCCGCGTTTCCGAGTGCCAGGAAGCCTTCAAGGAGCTGTATGGGTCTTGCATCGGGCTGCAAGAGTGCTGCAGGCTTTGCAAGGTATCGATGACCCATGAGACTCTGGCTGGGCTTACTTGTTCCGGCTCGAAGTATGGACTTCCGCAAGCCTCGACCTTTCAATATTAAGGCTGCCTCGTCGTCAAGGCATTGCTGTGCAGCTGCAGGGCCAGGGGCGGCTCCAGGGGCTGGTGCCCTGGCCTGGAGGACAACCTGCCCGCACAGGTCTTCAAGCCGAGGAGTAAAAATGGCGAGCGTCTGAACTTGGCTGTAAACCCAGTCAACACTCTTTCAAGAACTCCAGGGGTGAGGCAACTGCGAATGGAACATAAGCTTGCTTTGGGAAGCTTTTGACTTTCTCCTGCAAACTTCCTGTCTTTGGGTCGTTCACAACAGCCATGGCGCACTACGATGAAGGATGACAGCGGCGATCCGTGTGAAGTTGATGCATGTCTCTGAGGTCATCCTCCATCTCACCCCTCACGTTCTTGGAGCTACCTGAAAACCTCCCCTGCTTGCCCACTGACCATCTGCTCAACCGAGGTAGCAACACGAGAACACAAGTGGTCAAAGACAAAAGGCCATGCAGGTGCATGCGCGATGAGCAATCCACGCCCGAAACCGTGAGGTCCACCCGACCCACATTCACGCCAAAGTGTTCCATGCGTTGGAGCAAGCAAGGTGTCTACACTTTGGTCAGAATTTGCCTCGATAATGCGGCACGAGAAAAGGGCAGGGGAACAAGCATGGCCAGGCCCCATGGCTATGATTCTACACTACAATGAAGTTTCGAAAGTTTGTTAACAGTACTTGATTGTTTCGGAGCCACCTCCCGGAGCAGCGGAGATGCAGAACTCAGCTCTGCCAGTGCCACCGCCATGCAGCTGTATGGCCTTCCAAGTGGCATCAAAGCCCTGCTTGAGATACACCATGCAACCGCACGCGAAGCCTGCTTGCTTTGGTCAGCATCCGAAAGTCAAACCAATTGCTTCAACGGGCCAGGGTGCAGCGATTTCGGAATGAACTCGATTATGTAGCCAGCTTTCCTCACGAGCTGCTCGTCTCGGTGGAACCAAATGTCACAGCGAGATCAGTGTTCTGCGGCTTCTCGTTTTCGGTGCAAGCAGACGACAGGTCCTAGTTCTGGGCGTCCCGGAGGAGTCTGAAGCACCAGGAACCATCTGGAAGCTGATGCCTCATCGCACAACGGGGGGGGGAGAGGCGCCGCAAGCGGCATCACTTTCGAAATTGGGGCGCATTTCCAAGCTGAGGAAAGACGAGGCCAGCCGAAGCATACACTCTCAGCTAGGGATGCTCGCGCTCCTGTCTGCAGTCTGTTGGGAGTATCTAGGGCTCCCCAAGGTGCAGCCGAAGCTTAACATAGCTGAAGTTTATCCAGAACGTGACTGGGTGCCAACTGCTCAGAGCTGGACACCGGCGACCTGAATCTAGCCCCATGCCCCACACAAAAATGTAGTGCAAAACAGTGCAACCAAAACACGAAGGGACATCGTCTGTGGAATTTGAGCTTCCTCCATGTGTCATGGCAAGTTCGAGTTGCAGCCGCATGAACCTTTAGCTTATTTTCTTGCAGCAATGTCCTCCTCACCAACAACGACAGCCAAAGGCTGAGCATTACCGTCGTCACCGACGAGATCAGCATCGACAATGCCTTCTCAGACGAGCGATGGCGCTGCACGCCAACTTGATACTGGCCCTACTGTAGACAGCTCGCTGGGAAGCATCTGTGTCACTTCCACTAACTTCGGCAGTCGCAAAGTCTCGGGAAGGTCTGCGCAACACAGCGATGGTCAGAGGAGCTGCCTGCATGGCCTCGCCAACCGATACCTCCGCTTTGCTGCGCCGGGAGACGCAAACACAACCAGCCAGAGCTCCACTCCGTCGGCCCATCTTCTCCTGTCGGAAGATATGATCTGTAAGCAACTCTCGGAACTCTGCTGCTTGTAGGAAATGACAGCCTCGAATCAAGCCGCGCATCTTCATGCGATGTGCTGATGCCAGAGCACTGGGCACCACGAAGGAGCCCAGCCCTTTTTCACCTCAAGACCGCCGCTGTGAGTAACACACCCATGCACGTTTTAGAGCAACTGCCCGTACACGAGCCGTGATGCCAAATTATGCACATCAAAGCATTTCGGAACAATCAAGAGGCTGCAGGCAGCGGTGGACGAGGGAGCTCCGGAGCAAGTGAGAAGTGGCAGCAGACTAAGCAGTGAATCCAGACAGCAGAATCATGAGCCGAAGATAGCGGAAGTAAGACGAGTCGGAACAAGTATGTAGCGTGATAAGAGTGAGGATCGAGGGCTCTAGTTGGTGCTCAAGACAATGTGAGGTACGCGCCGCACTTCAATAATCACGAAGGCGGTGATGGCTGTAGTACGTGCATCGCAGCTGCTAAGGCTGCAGCCCCATGCGATGTCGACATTCGAAAGGGTTCTGGTGTCATCCTCATCTGCAGCACTTGCTGCAGCCTGATAACGAAGATATATGAAGCCGCTCTGATTCTTTCTGCTGTGAATGCCCACTAGCACTAGCACCTCCAGCTCAACAGCAGGCCGCCAGCTGGCCATGTAGTCTGCAGTGCTGTCCCAGTTAACCACCTGGCACGACAAAAAACAAATGGCCAACCAACATTGTCCTCACACTTTTTGGCTGCTGTCTTAGCGACACAGGAACCAAAGTAAGTTAGCTCGTCATCAACACGGAAACTGAAGACCATCAAAACAAGACGTGACACACACACACACACGCACGCACACACACACACACACACACACATCGCTGGGACAGTGTAGGGACATGTCACATCTGGCCCCATGGCACTTTTGTTCAGAGCAAGTTCTCTCACTCCGAAGAACAAGCTACCCGAGTGAGTAACCAAACAATAGGGCTCCGGCGAAGTCTGCCGTGATGTACAGTGACTCCACATGTTCATCTTGCATGCTTCTACTGTGCTTGCTCTGTAAAGAACGTGCGCGGGACAGCTGGCTTTCCCAAAGCCCTACAGTTCTTGAACGCTTATCTCGAACCAAAGAAAGTATTCGTATCTGTGTCTGATTGTCCAGGCCAGGCAACCCTGTTGTCTATGAACGCTTCGGCCATCGAGCTCCGGGGCTGCAGCCGTGAGGCATCTGTCTTGCGCGGTGCTGGCCGTCAGTCCCTCACTTTTTCACCTTCCTACTATAAACTAGCGCACCTCGCTGGCGGCAGGCATCGGGGCTGCTGCAGCAAGTAGTGCCTTTCATCAAGCTAAGGTCTGTAACGCTCTGTACAAATTACGCCATGCTTCGACGTGGCTGCTGCGGAACCCAGCGATGCCCTGAGGTTCGGCTACGGCTGGAGCATCTAAGAGTCAACCAATCCAGCTTGCAACCCTTCTTCTAGGACGGTGCAGGTGTTGCTGCTGTCTCGACATGCCACACAGTGTCCGGGAAATGGTGGTTCGAGAGTTATGCACAGCTTGCTGGCTCTGACGCCGTTGCGACTGACATCATGATCGCCTTGTCAGGGTGCCGAGTAGTCTCAACGCTTGAAGCTGCCAGGCTCAGGGCCAGGAAAACAACCCACACCCAAATGACCCGACGTCGCATGTCATGAGGAAAGTTAGCCTCCGAAATCGAGTCGCCTCGCGAGAGCACTCTCGGCCTTTGGCTGGAAGCCACAAGCTCGTTTGTAAGGCTCACCGAATTTCACCGAGCAGCAGAGCACTGCGTGCCACAGCGTGTTGCAAGAAAACAGACGCTGCGTCGCTTCTAGGGACTCTCATGCCACTCCCAGTCTTAAGAAGGTGTCGCGACAAAGACCTCTGGAATCCGTCGGATGTGGCCACGTCAAGCATTTCTCTGCGATCCAAGAATCCAAGGGCTCTGCAAAAAGCTTTCGAAGCACGAAGGTGACATGTCACGAAAGGCATCACTCTGCCTCCGGACAGAAACAGTGAAGTCCAGTCTCTGGCCGACGATGGTCTAGACCTTCGTATCTCGTGCGAAGCGCAAGCCCGCTGAAGTGAAGCATGCAACCCTAGCAGGAGTTTGAGTCTTGTCGCCAAAAGCTCAATTTCGTTTTAGAAGCTGCGACTCGGAAAAGGTGCACTCGCCTAGCATGTAGCCGACTCCGCTCTCGACTCTAGAGTGTACATCGGAATTCGGCTTGCGTCTCCGTCTCCTGCCTTATGCAGACACGAGCCACTACCAGTGGCACAAGAGCACATGGGGCCCGTACACAGGCAGAGCTTGTCAGCGAGCACCAGTGCTCGCACCTCATGCTCGTCTGCCTTATGTCAACGGCACATGGTCTGGCTATGGTGAGGAGGGCTGCAGCTAAATTCAATACAGCAACCTGGCCCTCTCTCTGTTGACAAGGTCCCACTTGAACGTGAAGAGGGAGGCTCCGCTGCAAGCATATCTCCACGGTCAGAATTCCTTGCAGCAATGCAAGGGGATAGCGTGCATGGCAAGTTCCTTACGAACGTGTCGCCAGACCATCCTAAAAATTGATTGAATCTCGGTCCTGGCAGCAGCTTCGTCTGCTCCCAATTCCCGGTCCCGTCAGTTAAGTGCCTCAGTAAAGCCAAACGGGCAGAGTCTCGAGCAGCACAGAATGCAAAACAGCATGTCAGTGAACCTTTGACACGAGCCGACTCGGAGAGAGCTCAAGACTGCAAGCTTCTGACTCAGCTGCGAACAGCAGGTTCTTGTTGCCCGCATGGAATTCAGTGGGCTTAGCACCTTCTCTGCACAGCAAGCCAGCTGATTAGAAGTCTCATCCCCCATGGCGGGTCTGGCATGGGCTCTTTGCAGAGGCCTGAATCAACCAACGTTAACCGGTTCAGAATCAGTCTGCTACATGTACGAACCACAGAATCCTGAAGAAGTACCAAAATTTACACCTTCATTCCTGATTGACAGAGTTCCCTGGATTGCGATTGGATGTTGTTCTGATTGGAGCGTTTTCTTCCACGCGGTGTTCCAAGCAAGGCAGCTGCCAAGATCTCTCAAGATAACCTGCATGCCGCCTCATGCAAAATCCAACTGCCATTGATCATGCATGGAGAAGGCAACAGCTTTCCACTGTTGCAAAAGAGCACGTCAATGACTTTCGTGCACTGCATGCACCTCCAAGCTTCGTTCTGACGCACTGACACTATCCAGGGTCCACGCGTAAATCAACCACATGGAAGCGCCAGCGAACAGTGGCTTCTCGACCTGCAGTGATCATAGAATCAGTCGAAGCACGGGCCGATGACGATGAGGCCGACAGGTCCGCACCTTCACCCCACGATGGAGGACCAGCTGGGTGCAGTAAGGACCACGGCAGTAGTTCCACCTCTGTGTCACTCGTGTGCAAGGCTACCAAGAATGTTCCTCAACGAAAAGCCCTGCAGCTGAGAATTACACGACACAGATCATACGTGAACATGGCTGCTGGCTGTCACCGATATGCCCCAGTCACCCAGCATCACCCGGCCTTGTCCCAGCTTCCACTCGCTGAAACGCCTGGCACAGTGGCCTAGCCTCGCCTGCTCAACGAACACAATGATGCTAGAAGTGTCAACGATTTCTCCTTTGGCCCTCTTCCACATACATCTTCTTCGAAGGTGGCTAACCACATGCAATGCTCCGACGCGCCTGCTGCAAAAGCCTGTCCATAATTTGCCACGGCACTCAAAGGTGAGAGCCCAAGCGCTAGGCCTTCAAGTCTCTTGCAACACAGCAAGCGGCAAGCGAGTTTAGGCGACCAAGGAGACAACGGCAATGTCCACGTGCATCGGATTCATGCTATGCTCTGCAATATGATAACTTTAACCTGTTTATCTCATTGGATGGGCAGCAATCAGCAGTTGGCGAACTCCAAAATCACATACTCACTGTGGATGCTTTGCAGCAGTGCATCTGCACCAACTCTGCTCATCCTGCTCCTTTAAATGGGTGATGCACGCTGCTCCATCTTGAGTCTCCGAGTAAATTTGCAAGGGCCCGAAAACTCCGACTGGCTTAGGATAGCTGGGCCTTCTCCGGACACATCCTTGATAGCTGCTACCAAATCACGTCCTGCGCAAGACAGATCATGCTCAGAACTTCTATGCACCAGGGTTGGGAGCCGATGCTGGTGGATGATGACGGGAATCCTGCTGAAAGAAAGTTGAGTCTCGGCAGTAAATGAAACGGTTGATCTTGGATCTTGCATGCTTGTTCGAACAAGTCTTACATCCTGAGTGCAGCTGCGAGGTCTTGCATCTTGGAAAAAGAAATCTATGTCTTGGGCCATTGCACCATGGAGACCTTGGAAGCACGCTTTGGAGAGTTGCCTTACCATCCGTCGGTGTCGACGTCGCAATCGTCATGGTCGTCATCGTAGCAGTAGTAGTAGAGCAGCAGCCGGAGGAGTAGTGGTGGTAGTAATAGTAGCAGTAGTAGTCGTCATCGTGGTGGTGGTACAAGTAGAAGTATAGTAGTAGTGGTAGTAGCAGTCGTTGCAGTCGTTGCAGTCGTGGCAGTAGAAGAGGGAGGAGCAGGAGGAGCAGTAGTAGTAGCAGTAGCAGTGGCAGTAGCAGTAGTAGCAGTAGAAGTAGTAGTAGTAGTAGTAGTAGTTGTTGTTGTAGTAGTAGCAGCAGCCGCCACAAGTGCTCAAGCGGCCGCGCTGAATGAGAGGTTTCGAACAGGCTTGCGGCGCAACTGCTGTGCTAGAGGTCCCAACCGGGCTCTTTTCTGAACAGTAAAGGTTTGTGCCTCCTTCTACGCCATGGTCCTCTCCCTCTTCTCACAGGAGCTGCTTTGAGCCGCCAGGTCCCAATTCCTGGGCCCAGACTCTGTTTAAAACATTGCAACACTGGGTAGGCGGTAGGGTTTCCACCTCCGCGCGGTGGAGGGAGTCATTAGGCTTCTGTCTCTTGACGAAAGTAGCGGATGGCGCAATTGCCAGTGCACTCACAAAACTTTGCATCTCTTCGTAAGAATTCGTTCAAGACAGCATGTAGAAGGACAGTCCGTAGTGACGGGCCCGTACCATACCGAGGGCAGGTTCTGACACCTACCCTGGTTGATCGTCTGGGGGTGCGCCCCCCACCCACTCGAAGAGAGCTTCAGTCACAGACTGCTGACTCCCCTGCATATGGCACAGCCTCCCGCAGGGCAGGAAGGTTGGAAAGATCCATTCGAGTTCTTTCGTGGAACGCGGGCCACCTAGGCCAACAGCAATGGGGCGAACTCAAAACATGGCTAGCAGCTGAAGCCTCTCATCACTGCGACATCCTCATATTGCAGGAAACGCACTGGACTGAGACCAGTGAATTCAGCGTTTCTGGGTGGTACTGTATCTCCTCAGCCTCGGAGTCTACCAAACCCAACACCCGGCCTAAACAAGCAGCGAAGCGAAACACTCGGCAAGAACCGCGAGCTCCATCCACGACTCGCGCTGATGGAGTCATGATCCTATTCTCTCCCAAGTTCGTCCCCAAGAGCTTACGCTGGAAGGAGTGGAGCCCGGGTAGAGTCTTAGAAGCTCGTGCGGACATTGCAGGTACTCGGCTGGTTGTTGTCGCGGTGTACCAACACGCTTGGTCTTCTGCCAAGACCATCCAGTCCAATAAGGACGACCGTGCTAAGGTACTATCTGTCATGTCCAAGGTGATCAAGCAGGTGCCTAAGAGGGACTCCCTTATTGTAGCAGGCGATTTTAACACCTCCCTGCGTCCGAGCTCTCCATTGGTGGGAACGCACGTGAAGCCACCCACTGAGGACCGCCCTGACGAATCCAACTTGTTCAATCTGCTGCTCAGGCTGCGATTGGTTGCCCTTAACACCTGGCAATGTGACCATATAGCTACCTTCTCACAAGGAGGCGTGGAGTCGCAAATTGACTTCATTCTAACCAAAGAATCTACGGCGGGAGGCAAAGCCAAACGGTCAGCCCCTTGGGTGGACTGTCCGTTGGGCAGCTGGAAGAAAGGAGGGCATTACCCACTCAAGGCTGACGTACCCCTCCAACACCACTGGCTGCTCCCGTCCCACAAACCCAGCACGCGCCGGTATGATTCACTAGCTCTACAAGCCTCAGTCAGGGAGGAGGACGATACGGCTAAGGCCCTGCACAACTGGATCGCTTCCAGAATCGACACCTGCCAGGACCCCAAGGCATGGAATGCGTTGCTTTTGGAAGGTGCAGAACGCTTTTTCCCAAAAATTCCCAAAAGAAGACCGATCCCGCTGGAATCGGAAACCCGTCGCATGTGGCGGGCCCGCACCCATGACAGGGCTGCGAATACCACTCCCTCAGCACAGCTGATCGAGTCACCTAAAGCAATGGCACAGCCTCCTAATCAGAACACGCCACGTCCGCCGGAAACAGAAGCTGAGCTGGCACAAGTGGCACATCGCCAGGCTGTGAAACAAGCAAAGAAAGATCGAATTGCGAGTTTCATATCGGAGGTGGACGCGTGTCTAGCTGAAGGTGATCAACATATCTCTTTCCAGACCCTCAAAAAGCTGCAGCCTTGGCAGCCCGCGCGCAGAGCTCAGCTAAAGGACAACACAGGACACCTCCTAGGTCCAGCGCAGGAACTAGCAGCCCTCAGGGACTATGCCAATCAGGTATTTGCGGCCCACCCTCCGTTAAGGACACTGCATGGAGCTTTCCCTGCTTTGGAGCCACCCAAACTAGCAGCTCACATACATTCCATCAAGCCGAACAAAGCTGTTCCTGACGGAGCGGCACCAGCGGCTGTATGGAGGCTGTGTAGCGATCTCGTTGCACCGGTCCTCTCCGAACACGTAGCATCCAAGCAGGCCGAGGACAGTCTAGAATCCGACCTCGTAGACGCAGATCTCTGTTTAATACCCAAGCCGGGCAAGCCCTCTGACAAACCCGCAAACCTGAGACCCCTGGGCATCCTTAGACCTGATGCAAAGGGACTGGCGGGAGCGGCCAGAGAAGCGCTTCAACCACTGACACTCTCGTTCCTCAAGCACATGCCACAGTTCGCTTATCTACCAGGTCGGGGGCTGTCAGACGCGCTAGAACGCGTGGTGCATCACTTGCGAGAGGCTCGATCCCTGTTAGAACAGGCTCACCCCACGAGACATGCCTTGCAACAAGGCACACAGGCCCCAGCCTTAGTCGGCGGCCTCACCTTTGCTCTTGACCTCAGCCAAGCGTTTGACACTGTCTCTCGCCAAGAGATCATCGACCTTCTTCAGAGAGAAGGGGCCGATCAGGACACAGTCCACCTTGTTCAGGCTCTACATGACGGGTCTCGTTATGTTCTTCACGCGCAGGGAGATTCCACCTCTTTTGAAACCACAGCAGGCATTAAACAAGGATGTAAGCTCGCCCCCACACTCTTCTCGTTCCTTACAGGTGACCTTTTCCGCTCTCTGGTCGACCTATTCGGTGCTGAGCAGGTCTTGAAATTCCTGACAGGCTATGCCGATGATCTCACGCTCCATCGGACTATCCGCTCTGACAAGGACCTCAGGGCCATTCATGCTCTCATCGCAGCGCTACTTGAAGAGGTCTGCAAACACCGCCTTCGCGTCAACACTAGCAAGTGCGTCATCTTAGTGAAGTTAGCGGGAAGAGAATCCCAAAACGTGATGAACAAACATGGCTGCTGGATCACCAACTCCAAGGGCGAGCAGGTTCGCGGATGGCGCATAGGGCCCAACAAATCGTTCCCCGCCTTCCAGTGGGCCTCCTGTAGCAAGTACCTGGGGGTTATGATCTCCTACAACCACTTCGAGCTGCAGTCCTTACATTACCGCATTGGGGAAGCCAAGCAAAAGCTGCATCAAGTCCGCCAGTTTGTCTACAATCGCCGGCACGCGAGCACCATGTCGAGACTTAAGGTTTGGCAAAGCACAGTTCTGAGCACACTGACTACAGGCCTCTCAGACGTCGGACTCAGCGAGGAGTCGGCCAAGCAGCTACGCAGTTGGCATGCTTACAAGGTGCGATCAGTGCTGAACTTGCCAGCACACACCAGTCGCATCACCACTAAGGACCTCTTCCAGCTTTATAGCATTCAGGACCCAGTTCAAGCGATGCAGGTCAAGCTCAGGAAGCGACTCCGCAAACTTGAGCGGCGTGCAGCCAGAAGCCCAGATATCACAACCGATCCTTCTGTTCTGCAAGTCATCCGGGACAAGCTGCATTTTATGTCACAGCTCCCTGAAACAGTTGAGCACCCTGTAGCCCTACATGCATGCACACTCTGCGATGCCTCCTTCGAGACAGCAAACGGGTTACACTTACACAAGTCGAGAGTGCATCCAGCCAGCATTGACCGATTTGTGCCATCAAGCTTCGATCGGCAACTCCACGCGGTGGATGGGATGCCGCAATGTGCCGCTTGCATGCGCAAATTTCATCAATGGAAAGGTCTTCGTGACCACTTGTTGTCAGAAGCATGTCCGGAACCCCAGAAGCTTCGAACTCTGAACGTGACTGACAAACACTCAAGTCACCCTGAGGTAAGGACCCTGTCCCAGCTGCGACAGGACATTGCCCAACTCCCACAACATCGAATAGCGGTGATCTCAAAGACACCGGAGGCCCGGGTCCTGATCCATAGGTGCCTCACGTGTGACTTCTGGACTTTCGATCACACTAAAGTCAAGTCACACTTCCGTCAGGCGCATCCTAAGGACTGGTCAAGGCTGCACAAGCGCGCTGTCTCCATATGTCAGGGTTTCTCGCCTCACCTTGCCAAGGGACACCCGTGTTCATTCTGCGGCTACAATGTCTATGATCGTCGACTGCACCCGGAACAATGCCCCGTACTTTATCAGGTGAGTACACAGTGGCTGCGAGGGCAACCGGAGGCAGAGGAAGCCGTTACTGCTCCCCCCTCCAAGCCCCAAGAACGGTCACTGACCCACTTCTTTAAGCCACGGTCGAATGGCACAGCCTCCAATCAGTCGAGCACAGCTCGTCACACCCCGGCAGACAAGCAGGCGTCTGATCCGCAGTCCTCAGGACAAGCGGAAATTAGACCCGAAGGAGTGCACAAACGCGCTCTGACTAACACGTCCAACTCGTGTTACGCCAATGCCCT